AAACGGCAAGATTCACTTGAAAAAGTAAACATATTTGAACAAGCATGAATGATACTAATAGCCAGATAGGATTCATTGATTAGAAAAGTTAATAGGATTACCTGTACTCCTTAGTATTGCTAGCAGTATGTCAAAAGTGAGACCTAATTATATAGGAAAAAGATTGCTATAAATCCTCGTGATATTTGCTTCCGAGTTTCATTTTTTCTCTTACCAAATCACTTCCTCCTCTGTTTAAATATTTTCATTCACTTTTTTAGATACATTCAAATTTGACCAGGTCCGGATATTTTTGTTCAGATACTTCTGTAAAACTCATGCAAAAAAGGAACTTGCATTAGTTTAGTGGGGAATACACTAATTTCACTTACATTTGAACGTTTTAAAATTTTCAAATTATTTTCGACAGTGAGATGTCACTTATCCACATTTCCCGATTAAACTACAGTTAATGAAATATAGACATCAACATATTTTCAAATCTTCATTTGAGTTGAAATTCGTGGAGCATAAAATTGTTGATATAAAATACTTAAAAACTTCTTGTAAGAGTTTTAATTAAAAATGGTGAAGATGAGCAAAAAAAGATGCAGCACAAGGGCAACAGTAAAAAATAAGTGACATGATTGCCTGCATAACTCTTTAATAAAACGGAACACATGGACGCAGACAATAATCGATTAGTTATTGTCTCATCCAATCATTTTCATCCTAAATCATCTTCATTCCACCAATCACTTTTTTTTCTGTCCTTTGATTCCATTTTTTTGTGCTTTATTTGATCATAAAACAAAGTGTGTGTGTAAAAACATTGTAATCTTCCATTTCAATTATAACCAAACACCCAACATAAAAAGAAAAAACGAATTCCTAAGAATTTACAGCCCTTTATTTTAAAATAAACTAAAACATTAAAAACAGAAACAAGTTTCCTTGCTCCTATCATATTACAATTATATACTCCTTTAACCATTGATGAATCGTACCATTTATTAAATTGATCAAAACGTTAAAAAAATTGCTTTTTTAATTTCAAAAAATAAAAAATAGAAAAATCTGAAAATTAACGATAGTAATCGTATGAAAATAAATTCATAAGCCAAATATTATATTTGTTTTTAAAGCTAAACGAAAAAGCATTAAAAAATACCATAAAATCTAAACAATCATACATGTGCCAAGAAAACTCACCAAAAATGTGGGCTCTTCAAATACATATTCCAAAGAAAAATCTAAAATCAGTCAGTATTTTTCGATTTAAATAAAATTTTGCTCCCAAATTAGTAAATTTTAATTACCCGGATACCAATCCAGTTCAATAAATAAATTTTTAAACATTTTGCTTTGCAGAATGTGTGTCTCTCAACATCTAAAGAAATTAAAATATTTTAGAAAAAAAAACAAGGTAAAAAAGATGTTACAATAAATAGAGCTAATAATTAAAACGTATAGCCGATTATTCTGGAACATTAATAAAACAATAAGAAAACTACCAATGTATAAAAAGTTATACATTAAGTAAACTACAAATAAGTATAATATCTTAATAAAACTAAAACCAAAATCAAATGTCATAAAAATGGAACGTAACACTGTCGATATCGTATTTCTTAACCTAAAAAAAATATAACCAAACTAACAACCACAGAGACAAATCTAAAGCATGAAATAAAAAAACAGACTCAAAAAAGACAAAAAAGAAAATAGAGAAAAAAAATTAAAGCTCAATACTGAACGATCAATTGTGCTTAGAAACAAAAAAAAAAAACAAAACTACGTAAAGAACAAACCTTCTGACAAGTGTCAAAAATTTTAAATTAAAATAATTCTTTAAACATAGGATTGATTACCTATGCGGGTTAATCAGATCACTGTTTTTCTTTTTTTATTAGAATAATATGCAGTAATGATATCCATCAGTTCATTACACTTCTAATGTCCGGTAATGATGATTCGATGCTAACAGCAGTATAAATTAAGACTTCAACAAACAAATAATCTCCCAGTTTTACTGATCAATTAACTTCCTCAATTTTTCTTTTCTTGGGAGGAAATGGAGCTTTATATTGATAAATGATACATAACAATCAGTTCAACAAAATTCTTCCCACAAAATATCACAATTTATAAATTATTACTGCTGTTATAGTTTCTTCTTTCATTGTCAATTAACTCCTTGTTTTTCGACAATTCCTGCTCAACTCTAAACATGATTTTCACTATAATGCTGATGAATTATCGCTAACGAATGCTTTTTGATGTATTACAAACAAAACTTCATACTTGTAGTACTTGCAGAACTCAACAGTTTAGTAATCACATGAATGTTTGCTATCTTGCAAATTTGTGAAGCAATTTTTAATATATTATATTCTTCAAAATTTGGCACGAGATGGACATATATTTGAGTTGACTATACTTCAGTTGCAATTTTAGGTCTGGAAGAAATATTTTTTGCAGGACTAAACTATATGGACTGAAGTATTATGGTTTGACATCACTGAATGCCGACAGTAATTTGCTCCACTTCGACCAACAGTAACAAAAGAAAAAAAGCTATGAAAATTTTTTTTCTCTTTTTATACTTCAATATAAATTCACGTTTATGACTTGATGGACGATACATAAATCATTTCTCGAATATGAACGGCTGTTAAAACGTCTTTTGTCCTAACTACTTTTGTAAAGTACTCACCATCACTAACACTCCCTAAATACTTTGTCATAACACTCTGAGATACCTTCTCTCATCTGTTTTAATTTTTTATGGCAATTTGTTTCGCAGCAGCAAACTATAATTTCATATGATTGATGAGCAGATGAAAACGAAAGTAGTTACGAAATTTTAACGGAATCACAAATTTCCGAAAATGAAACACAAGTGATGTATAAGGGCACAATTACTTTTCTAAAAACAATATGGAATTAGTGAACATAAAATTCCTCGACATGAAACAAACAAAATATAAGCAATTTCACAACTTAACATGTAATATGAGGATTTCGCGACCTTCAATACTAACAAATTCTCCTTCAACACAGATCCTGATATAATACAAGTTTTCCATAAATAATTTCACATCTCTAACATTGCAGCCCTTAGTCTCAACTTTATACCACTTACTATCAAGTTTTTGCGTTACAGGTTATACGTCCTTTCGTTAGGAAAAAAATTTTAATCCATTACAAAATTTCTGGTTTGATTTGATTGCTTGAAGAAAGCTTTGTTTTGACACAGACAAATTTTTCGGTGAAAGCTAATCATCATTGTAGAGACTTTCTTCTTAAACGTTATAGAATTAGACTAGTTATTTCAAAAGTGCTAATGAAAATTAGATAACAAAAAACATCAAATAACCATAATAAGTTTCAATAAATAAATAACTTGAATTTTTGTAAACAGTCATAAATCGTCTATGATAATTTTACCGTAAATCATTTAGTTAATAATTTTTGCAAGATAAATTTCTATAAATTCCCTAGATGATTTTAACCACTTTACATTATAAAATAAATTCGGATTTTTGACAGGATCATAAATCCGTTTTTTAGTATTTCCGAAACCAAGATACCTTCCCGAGACCGCTCAAGAGTGAAATTATATTTGATAAGATTAAGAACCTATCATTACCCAACAATGGCACATTCGACAGTCAATTAAAGCTGTCAGCAGAGTGTCTACTCATGTGTTATTAACTAAAACCGATACGAAATTAAGAATTATTTTTTCGATATTTTTATGTCAGAAAAATTCTAGCTTCCAACCTTTATAAAAATTATGATCATATACACTAGCTGCAACATGCGAGAGTTTTGCGAATTTCGTTATTTGTTGAAGGATCTTAATTGCTTACAACTATAATTTCAGATCTCTAACGTTTCTGCGTAAGGATGGGAATCTACTAAGTGAACATATCCTCACCATATATTATTTACAATATGGTTTAATGAAATAGCAAAGTAGTGTTACCATCATTGCCATAAAAACTGGTGACTAACAATTTAGATACAAAATCTAAACTGCACATCAAAAGAGTAAGCTAAATTACTCTTGTATGAAAAATATCATTTATTTTGAACTTCCTCTAAACATCAATAACAGCTGCATGGGCAGATTTGACAACTGTTTAATTCAGTGACCAATGAATCTTGTCCTAATAAAATTGCGCTAATAATTGAAGTTAGACTGCCATTTAATTGCTTATTCTACAGATAACTATTGATTGAAATACAAATAATTTGCAATAAAAAGAAATAAATTTAATACAAACTTCGCACACATACAAAAACATGAGTATTTATCTGAAACTTATCGCGGTAGTCATTCAAACTAGTTAGAAATCTTTAGTGCTGAAATACAGATGAATGAATTTAAACTGCATCCAGCAGATTCCTCAACATACACCATATTTTCAAAGTTTACCTACATCGTTGTATGGAGCGCATCAATCTGAGTAACATTGTGAATACAGGTCCTCACTAATTATTAGCGTCATTTTCGTACTTGCAAAACTTTGTTCGTACTGAGCACGACCATTTCTCGCAACATTTTGGACAAATTCTTTTTTTATCATTAATTGTACTGTTTCGGACCATCACAGGGCATTTCTCCACAGCACCGCAGCAAGTCCAGTAGCGAACTCTTCCTGAGTAATTCTAAAAAATCATGCAAAAACATTCTCTAATATGTGCATTATATTAAAATTATACTGGAAACCAAATTCAAAAATTGGACTGTAAAAGGAGAACTCTTGCACATCTTTTGCCTTTAAAAATTGAGATCCCAAGGATGCTATCGGAATGGGTAGCAACACTTTTATGTGTAAACAAATTATCGCCAAAGAACCGAGTAAACTTCTTTGAGATGTATTAGTTTCAGGTAGTTAAAGTGAAGGATTAAAAATAATATGTGTGTCGGTAAACTCAATTAAGATATTTCATACTGCAGATAGTGAAATAAACAATGAAGTGATATATAACTATTATTTATCCAGTGATAGTTATAACATCGCTTCATTATTCATGTTTTCGTCTTTAAAGACTGATTGCCCAACCTAAAATTAATAAAATACCTAACTGATGATGTTCTTCTTTATGAATATTCAATTTGTACCGCGAGAACTCTTCTGCTTAATTGCTATACAACATAGAGTCAGTTCAATAATTCGACTTTATGCTTTCAAGGCACTGCTAAATTACCTTAACGAATTAAAAGAAATCTTAAATGCAGTACATAAGCATAAGACATAAACCACCGAATTATATGCTAATTTGCATTATTCTGCAACATCCAACATTTCATTATTCATTTTTCTCTAAGAACATTCAAAATATTTAAAAATCTGATTTTCAGCACTAGAAGATGAGCTCATAAATTGGAGCTGTTAAAGATAGTTTATACCAAGGAGGAAAGTAAAGAGCGGAAATAATAAGATCATAGAAAAGAGAACAAAATAAAATGTAAAAATCAAGACCCACAAAAAATAAAGAAAATATGGTCTTACTAAGAAAAGAAAAAGTTTTCATGTAATAAAATTTATGAACAAACCTGGACAGAATTTTGAGATACTTGTAAGCCATGAAAAGATAGATCAGGTTGCCATTTTTCTAAAATTTCCAGGGTTTCAAATGAATTTAGTGACGAAAGTACTTCTGGTTTCGAAATCAAAAGAAGTGGAGCCAATGCACTCAATTCCTTGCTCTTAACAACACGATCACTAACAGCGAAAGTATTCAGCAAATCCGATACAGCTTTGGATTGAACCGTGAAATTTGGGTGTTTGCACAACAAATCCCAGACAACATCAATAAAAGCAAATAATGCGCTTCCTTCCTGTTCATTATTATTATCCACCATTTCTTCCATTTCTTTTGACGGTATTCTCACAAGAAATTCAATAGCATGAATGAGATCGCCAGCCAATAAATGAACATATACAGCGGGAAGGCAATACACTGGATTTCTAAGAAGTTGCGAAGAAATATTTGAGATCGTGTTCGAGTCCATTTTTTTCACAAAATCAATGAAACTACGTTTTCTCACTTCGTCGAAGCAGACTTCTGAAATTTGAATAAATCACTTTAAATTTCAATATAAACGATAAAAAAAAGTTTCCTTTAATATGAAGAAAGAGTTATTGAAATAAGAAAACTAATACAACTAAAAATACCTGTAAGGGTAAATGCAACGAGTGATGGAAACTTCGTTGGTCGTGGTATGCACGGACTGTCACCAGCCACTTCAATTGTTTTCGAAGGACCTTTTGCTGTTTTAAACACAATTTTACGACTACCTGATGGAGAAACGCTTGATTCAACGCCCAAATGGCCTTTATAATTTCTCCCCCACACGTAAACAGTGCCTTTAGATGTTACTGCAGTAGTGAAATCGTATCCTACAAAAAAAGGAGTCTTTTCAATGTGTATAAACTTCAGAAATATTTTAGTAAAGTAAGGAATACAACTGTTGCATACCGCAGGAAACAAAATCCCAAGCTACATCTGCTGGTTCAAACAGTTGATGAGGTTCTTCTTGCTCTTTCTTGTTTCCATGACCCAGTTGCATATCCAAACTTTTACCCCATGTGTACAGATTTTTATGTTCGTTTATAAGAGCTGAATGACTATAACCTGCGTCAATATGTATTATTCTCCCTTGCACCTACAATTACGTAAAATTATTTTTCAACTGCAATAAAAAAAGCAAACATTAACTACCAACGAAAGACAAACCATGTGTTCTAATTCCGTAACTATTAAATGGTCGTTATTGATTGCCAATTTGTCATTTTTCTTTCCAGTCGCTGAAGTACTCTTATCTACTTCTGCGCGCAATCTTCGCTTGACAAACATTTTCATCTTCAATGCTTGTGGATTAGTACCCCAGCAGTAAATTTTTTGCCTTTCGGATACTGCCAAACAATGAAAATACTTTGAAGCAATCATAATAACTTTATCAGGCACGGGAACTGCTTCAGGTTCAAAACGTTTTTTTATTTCAACACCAGTACCCAGCTGTCCATATGACCCGTTACCGCAAGAATAAATAACGCCTGATTCCATTAAAAACAATGTATGTGCATATCCACATGCAACTGAAATAACTCGCCCACTGAAACAAAATGCTTTAGTTTTCTGATATATTTTTAAACAAAAATTTCCTAATTTCATCAATTTCTTCATTTCATACAAGATTAAAACTAGAACAAGCAATTTTACAACACTTTACAAAAACAGATTCATATAATAATGACCATAAAATTACAGAATGACCGATAGAGATGCTCAAAATAAATACTTACTTCAAAGACTTCACTAAATTCGGAACAAGTTTGTCTGCAAATGAGGAGTGAGTATTAATTCCTAGCTGTCCATGAAACGACCAACCCCAAGTGAAAACATATCCCTTTTCATTGATTAGAGCTGAATGGTAATGTCCAGCACATATTGTACGCGCACTCCCATAACAATCAACAATTTCTGTTGCAACTGTAACCTCATCTGTATGGCCGACACCACACTGACCAAATCTGTAAATTAGAGGATTCATTATAACCACAAAAGTTTATATAGCTTAAGAATGGTATATGACAAAAAGCAAGTGGATTCATTTAGTAAAGGAAACTTCGCAAATGAAAAGAAAAATTTTCTTTAAATGATCCATAAATTTTAATTGCCAATATAACAAACCTATTTCGACCAAACGCATAGACCTTCCCCTGTATAGTTAAGCAGAGCAGATGTTCAGTGCCGCAAGAAACGCTAGAAATTCTAGTGGGTATATCCAGCATACATAAACGAGATACGCAATGCTCACGAGGTTTTTCATATTCTTTCGACTTTAATAGTCCTGGGGAGAATTCTCCCCAATACCCAAGACCTTCTTCTGAAGTCACTACGGCGGTAAAGTTCGATCCACTTGAGATAATGTTATCCGTTGCAGAAGGAAGACACTACAACACACACTCCAGTTATCATCTGTTGTTAATATTGCTAATCTGTTACAGTAAATTTTCCAATAAAATTTTTCTGCCCAAGCACTTTTCATATTTCAATATTTTTTGCAGTAAAAAAAATTATTGATATAACATTAAAATTTCACTTATCCACAATAATAAAATTTCCAAATGAAGAAAGGTTTTTCAACGAATATTTGGAAATATAAACTCAGTAATGAAACATGGAATGGTGGTTCAGCACAGGAAAAATACTTCTCCAAACTTGGGCAACTTACAGTATTGTATGTTGCTTGCATCAAATGTAGCGAAGATAACACGTACAGAACAGCTGCATTATGTTGATAACTGCAAGAAAGACATGACTTCGCTAATGCTCAAATCAAACTTTAATCTATTAAGGTAAAATAGAATTTTATAATCACGCTGAAAAATCGACACCAACGAAGAACTACAAACCTCGTCACTTGTTCGACACCAATCTTAGCAAATGTAGTGAGATGTGGCACAGATCTGAGATGAGGTACAAATTCCGTCATGCGGCGTAAAAGTATTTCACCATCCTCTTTGCTGTATGACTTCCAACATAAAGATGACAAAATTTTCACAATAAATGAACTATGAACAACTGGCCAATTCTTTTCGGTTTTTGCTAGATATCTTCCCACAGTTTCAGCTTTATCTAACGAATTATCAACGACTATAGTAACACTGGTCCAAAAATCCTCTTCAAGCAACTGCTCCATGCCAATGTGAACATCTGGATGTCGCACCAAAAATTCGCTGGAATTCGCCTTTCCAAAAAATTTATAAAAAATATCGAACATCAGTAGTATCTGTTCTCATTATGAACAATATAGTTTGAAGAAATTTAGTACTGGCATACTGCAAGATAATAAAATAATAAATGCTTTTTCTTTTCAAAAACAAAGAACTTACTTTAAAATGGTTTCAATCTTATCTCTGTCTTGAGGGAAGGCTTTATAACGAGCCATGCACAGATTGATCATGTGATGTCTACTTTCTTCATTTGGATCTCCTGCACAGATGTCTCTCACCACTTCGACAAGAGCATGTTCAGAATTATTTTTTATGCACCACTGTATTAAAGTGATAAGATCTATCTGAAAAAGCACCAAGTAAGAAAATAACTCGTTGTCCAATTTATATATTTCACATCCCTCTACTCATTTTTTAGCAAATATTATACAGATTTTGAAAAACGTGATGATTCTGGCTAGTGCAGCTTTCAGAACAAAAGATCAACAGAGATACAATGTTACTAGATACCGGTAATGTCACACTCATAAGCAATGGATCCCGCTAAGTTAAAAGAAAAAATAAAGAGATGTCAAAAAATGATTTGGTACAAATATCACTTCCCGGCCACTTCAGAACTAAAAACCGCGAGATGCGTATAATGAACTCACAGATGAATCAAGTGCAAGATGAATCAGTTTATCCAAAATGATTTCGCGATCCATAGAATTCTGAACAATGGAAAACGTATCGTCGAGGACATTTTGAACTAGATCTGTGGTATTCATTCTAAATGTTTCAGCAACCAACATGCAAATGTTATAACTATAGTCGAGTTTCGCGATATAATCAACCAGAACCTCGCGTAAAGATCTAAACGTTTCATAATCATTTTCACAGGAACTCTGCAGTATTGTAACAGCAAGCTCACAACTATAAGCATAAGATTTAGAAAGATCATAAAGTGAATATATGCAAACTGTGGCTGGAAGATATAATAGCAAAAAAATAACTTATTCGGGGATAAAACGATAAGATCATGTTCCGTCACAAGCAAACACGAAGGCAGAATATTCTCGCATAGAATCGGTACAAAACCCAATATTTTCTCATTTGAAAAATCAAGGATTTTTTCGTAAAAAATCTTTGCAGCACTAAACAAACCCTAAAACAGTGTTCTAGAACTAAATAATTACACAGTGAAATATGTATTTGAAAAGTGAACAATATAAATCGAAAAGGTACACTGCATCTTGCTTCTGTTGTAATGGTTAAAAAGTCTTTTGAACTCAATGTGGGAATGTGGACTATTCAGATATGAAGCAACATAAGTGAAAACTCACACCGAAATGGACCGAAACTCTTGTACCAGAAGCCTGATCAGTAACAGCAAATATCGCATGTGGGAGGATATGTACCTGCCACGTGTTTTCAGGTACAGAGACAGAATTTTTCGCTATTTTCATATCGGTATCGTCGTAGAACTTAATAAAATTATAATTTTGCTTAAATAATATTTTCAAATACCATATATTAGGTTTTTACGATGTTAGACAGCTAAACACTTGATGCTATTAGCAATTTTTCGAAAATTTAGCCGTGGCTTACTTTGACAATACAATCTTCAGTGTTAAGCAGAGCAAGATTCCCATCGAAGGCAACACTGATTTGACATGTTTTGTGATACTGTTCTCTTAAATCCCATGGTATAACCTGACCTAACGTTTCACGCAAGCCACGTCCATCAGTTTCCAGTGGCAATATCCACTGTTCACCGGTGAAACCGCTTACCTGAAGAAAGCTTTAAAGATTTGTTGAAGACAAACAAACTACTGCCAATATGACAAAGATTTTCTCAAGTGAATAATCTGTCCAATGACTTGTTAATCGAAAATTTTGATTACTCAAAAACAAACCAGTAAATGAGCATCGCCTTTGCTTGCATACAAAGAAATATTGTGAATGCTTTCTGGTGCTCTTAACATTACGGACACTACCATCATAGTTAAATCAATAATGAATAGTTGTCCAGCCTATAAAAAGAACGAATATAAAATCGACCATTCCACTGTGAACGTTGACTTTCAGAAAAATATAACAGTGATACCTTATTTGCATATATTAAGTATATAACAGTGATACCTTATTTGCATATATTAAGTAAGGACGATTTAAATGATAGGCAGTGTAACAGAGTGCAGACGTTGGTGTACAGAGGCATCCTTCTTCCACACCATTAACTTCCAAAATTGAAATAGAATCATTGGCCAAAATATCACATCTCCCCCACGGAACGTCCTCAAAGATATGACATGAAATAAGCAAAGGCTCTGAAATCACTATCTGTGCAAATAAAACCAGCACAACTTTCAGCCTCCATTTTCATCCATGTTAATTAAAAGAATAAAAACTTACCAGAATACATCGCAGTGGTACCAGTAAAACACTCCCTTTTAAAAGAATAAATGCTAGACCACTAGCACCAGGAAGGACGCATATAGCAGCAGCTTCGTTTACAGTTGGAGCAAATTTCCGTAAATGAGTAACACAGAGTCTGACGCCACTGCTTCCAACGTTGGAATAAATTAGAACTCCACCTAAACAAAAAAAAGTGGTGTGTAATAAAATCACATTTAATAAAAGAAATGAAATCTTAACTGTTAAGCAAGATAACAGTTCCACTTCAATTCACAACAGTAATCAGTTTCAAGATTCCCAAGAATATCTTAGATCCTCGTTCTGAAAACAATTACGGAACAAACGCAAAGTTTCATTTCTTACTGTGCACATCTAAATTTGAAAAGATATTACCTGGATTTCGTAAAACAAGTTTTCATTTTAAAAATACTGACAAGATTACTCACTTCTTATAAGTACTCCCTTCTTATAAGCATGGCTTCCGTCAGTAACAATTATCTAATAAATTTTTAAATGCTGATATCGTTGATTAAATCCAAATCTCTAGCTAGAAATGTAAAATGAATATTATTTACCTTTAGAAGTCAGTAAAGCAACTAATGTGAAATTCAATTCCGCTAAGAATGACCAGTCAATAATTCGTTCATTTTCACTCAGTTCACATCCCCAATTTTCCTTTTGCCATTTGTAAGACATAACATTGAATGCCCCTAAAAATTAATAATTAATAATTAATAATTAATAATTAATAAT